CCCCGCTTGGGGGTCGAAGCGGCATCCAGGTCCACCGTCAACGGCCGTTTCCCGGACGCCTTAGACGGGTTGGCATCGGCACCCTGGCTCGGAGTGGGTGCCGGCTCGTTGACAGGATCCCTTCTGCTCACGGGCTCGGCATGGCGTTGCCTGTGCCGTTCAGCAAGGGGCTGCTCCTCAGGGACTGCCTCCGAGAACCTCTCTACCGAAGCCTCGGGATGTCGTTTCTGCTTCTTCCCCTTTGCAATCACCCCGAGGCGCCGCTTCGAGGTCTCGGACATTTTCTTTGCCTCGGCAGACTTCCTGGCGTCAGACACTGCAAGGACGGAATGGAGGCGTTAGCAAACGGTGAAGTGAACTTACTCTCGGCAGGGTTCGCAAGACGGGCTCTGATGAGGTTCTCAGTAAAGAGGAATTGTGGGTATTCCCTGTCACCGGTAGGAACTCTCAGCCGAACTCTGTCAATCTGCCGAAGCTCTGACTGTGTTGCCGATGGTTGCTTCAATTTGCCTACAAAAAAAAGGGCAAGAGGTTAATTCCTTGAACAAAGAAAAATTGACCTACCGATCGCTATGGTAGCAACCTACCGGCAATCTGGAAAGTGGTTGGGATATGGAAGCGAACGGGAACTCCCGAGGGCGATTCCCAATCGCCAGAAAGGAGGACCCGCCGATTCCTCCAAGACTTCTGGGAGGTCGGCACAGCCGTAAGAAAATGCCCCCTTTCGAAAGCCTTGAGACAGTTCGCCTGAACCCATCCACCATGATCAGTACTCTTCGATTTGGTGATGCTGTACAGGTTAGAGAACTGCTCGTAGGAAGGCCCCTCCTCATCGGCAAGCCCGAACGCTCGTAGGAACGGCGCTTGATTCCCGGGTATGCGAAGCGGTCTTAGCCCAATTCTTCCTTTCACGCATTGATGGTAAGTGGAGACTACGAGCTTATGCTTGTTGAGCCACGGCCTTCCGAGTAAAGCATGGTAAGCCACATCCACATCCACCACATAGAACTTGGTAAGTGACCTGATCGGCCCCACCTTCAGGTTTACTTGCATGTACCCGACGGTAACTTCACTCTTATTTCCGAAGCCGCTGATGCTCGTCTGGGATTGCACGATTTTAGATAACAGAATACCAGCTGCCGTAAGCACAGACAGAGGTAATATGTTGACAGAGGAGCCCGTGTCCACCAAAGCCCTTCTTATAAACACATCATTGATTTGTCCCTCCAAATAAAGTGGTCTTCTATGATCCGGATATGGAACTTCCATGTCTTCGTCTGTGAAAACGATAGCGTTGTCATTTCCCAAGAATGACCTTTGTGGTTGAGCAGCGAAACAATAAGGATCCGACTCCGCAGAGATGTTCATGAGAGCTACAGCAGCTGCTTCTCTTGCTTGAGGCCCAAAGCCGAGTTGGTCAAAGAGTGACTTGAATTTCGGATTCCTTTGGAGGACTTGTGAGGCTGTGGGTCCCTGCTTCAGACCTAGATAGCGCTCCATTACGCTCGCTTCGGCCTCCGTAAGATTGTGAAAGGTCACGGCGGCCGTTTCCTGCTGCGAAGCCCCCAAGTAGCATTCTTCCGGCACGTCCATCGGAAATACTTCATCACATGTGCTATCATCCCATCCACCAGCGATGGGCCATGGGGTATTATAGCTCGAAGGCCTCGAATATTTGCACCAATAAGCTTTCTCCATATTCCCGCAAGGCTCCCAAACAGCTTCAGGTGGCTTCGGGTCATTCCTCCATGGGTGGCATGCCTCATCATCGTCGAGCAAGTCGCCGGAACATGTGATAACA